ATCGACTCAACTTGTGCAACTTCAAATCACTGTGATTTCTTGAACTTATTTTAAGCACCAGCGTATACGTACTCATTCTATTACTACTCTTCTCAAACAGATCTTGTTGTGCTGGTGTTGCCATACTGTTAAGATTGTGTAAACATGTTGCCACACCGCTCGACAAAGCTTGAAATGTGCCTTTGTACATATAGGAATATAAAGGCAGTAGATTTACTTTACTCAACTACTTTACTCTACAACTCTACCGACTCTATCGACTATGCACAATGATCATGTTTGTTTGATCATAAGAAATACATAGTTATTCGAGCTATTATTTTCAAAACTTGAATTAATGCCATTGAAATATGATATCTCAACAACAACACAAATATAATCAAAAGCTATCGTTGCTTTGGTACTTACGATTTCCCTAGTTCCTGCCAGACAATAGCCAAATCTCAACTTATGCGAAGCCACTAATACATATTTGCTTAAGCGACTTGAGTTAACTGGCATCAGACATAGGTCTAGGTCTAGGTAGATATATGCAAATATACGTATCTATCAGATCGGCATTTGCGTTTGGGCCCCTAGTTTCCGGTAACAACTATAGTACGATTGTGGGCCAGAGTTTAACCCTTAATTTGGCCAGGCATGGGATTCGCGGGGCATGGCATGGGGGGAGTGGGATTGAGGTGGGCATGGAAGTAGCGTGGCTATCTGGGCCGTTTAATCGCGCTTCATTCATCATCCCAATCGAGCGTTGCGTTTCGGCGGGGCGACGCGACGCGACGGCCGATGCGAACTATCGATAAGGCGGCTGGGCCCGAGTGGGGCGAAGTTCACAAACTCAACTTAATGGCAATTTTATCGATAATGTTCGTGCTGAATTTTCGATTTTGTTTGCTTGCATGTCGGGCCGCGAATTATGAGCGATCGACACGCCAACAGCTACCAGGCAATTGTGCAAATCTAACCAGAACTGGGAGTTGGGCGTCGCAATCGAAATCGGAGCAGGAGTTGAAGCCGCGTTACGCTCCTTGCCGCCCAGTGCCAGTTCGAACTCTGTCATCATACCACACTTGTACTTACTTTCGTAGTTTAGCATACAATGTGTTTGTGGGTTTTTCTATATACCCTGTACAATGAGCGCAATTGTAATGAAAGGTCGTCTGAGTCTTGACAGAGAAGATGAACAATTTTGAGAGTTACTTTAATAGTACTCATATCTACTGGCAGAGCTTATTCTATGCATTCAATATACTACTATAGGCAATTTGATCTTTTTCTATATATGTATACAAATTTCTCCCTCCTCCTTTTTTAACTCATCTTAGCTTCTTTAGAAAAGAGACATGTTTATCGTTCTATTATGTAAGCAAGCTCAACTCAACTCCTTTCTCCGACTCTCTTCAGTTATACCAAATGCTTAGGGTATCTTATAGTAAATCAATAGTTACTTATTCACATAGTTGACAGCTTTTGGCTTTATTTTTTGTGGGGGTTTTGGTTTATGTTTTTCTGCTTTGGTTGCAGCGCAAATTATGAGCACGCGAATATCGAACGGTTCCTGCTACTGGTGGGCGGCATATTCGGGTCCTGTGGGCGTGCCCGCCCTATCAATTAGAACTGGCTAGCGCACATCTTGATAAGAGCGCGGCCCTACAGCGATACCAACAATTGGTATGCGAGCAGCCTGTGTAAATAAATAAAAATAAAGTGCCAACAACGAAATGCGCTTCGAATGGTCATTAAAACTGCGCGTCCAGGGCCTAAAAGCATGCACTGCTAATTGCCACATAAATAACCAGTCGAATCACCAGCCAGTACCATCCAAAATCTGAGGGTTGTCCAGCGCCCATTCCGAGACGAAAGAAACGCGGCGAAATTCGAAAGCAAAGCAAAGAACATTATAATTTATCGAGCATAGATTATCGATAAGCAAGCAAACATATGATTAAGGACAGTTAAACAAACAATAGCAAACAGGCAGAAGCGAAGGAGAAAGAGAAAGAGAGGAAAAGGGAAAAACGAGAAGCGTAGATTAGAGAAGGGTAAAGGAGAAGAGAAGAGAGTGGAGAAGAGTAGAGAAGAGTAGGTTAGGGTAGAATAGAATAGAGTACAGCACAGTAGAGTTCCGGAGAGCAGAAGAGAATGGAGGAGGTTAGAGTAGAGTAGAGTATGGTAGAGTAGAGTAAAGTAGGATGGAGTCGAGTAAAGTTGGATAGAATAGAGTAGAGCACAGGAGAGAAGAGTACGGCGAGTAGAAGGCTACAGGAAAGAAAAAGTAAACAGAAGAGAGTATACGATAGTAGAGAAGAGTGGAGGAGAGTACTGGAGCGTGGAGTAGAGAAGTGCAGAGTAGAGTAAAGTAGTGTAAAGTAAGGTAGAGTAGAGTAGAGAAGGTTGGAATAAAGTAGAGAAGAGAATGGGAAAATAGAAGACTACAGAAAAGAAGAAGAAAGCAGAAGAGTGTGTATGATAGCAGAGAGGAGTGGAGAGAGTAGTGGAAGAGTAGAGTGGAGTAGATGAGAATAGAAAAGAGTAGAGTAGAGTAAAGCACAGTAGAGTAGAGAAGAAAAGCAAAGAAAGGGGCAATTGCTGAAGCTAAGCAAAAATGTACTTTAGGCTGCCTCTGATAGGGGCTCGACTAGACTTACGCAATACAGCAAATGGAAAGAACATGAGCACAATCTACGATAAGGTCTATAGTTGTTGTGCTTAGTTTCCCGTGCATGTGTCTGTATGTGTGTAAGTGTGTGTGTGTTTGTGTATGTGTGTGTGTGTGTGGTGCAGAGCAGCGCATTAAGTTCAATTTCAGCTACTAGATCAGAATTTATGACATTGACGAAACGATAAAAATGTCGGCAGTAGCCGGCACACACATAAATGTGCATTACGGAAGTGAAACAGAGAGAGTGAGCGAGACGGAGATGGGGATGGAGCTGGAGATGGAGATGTAGCCGGAACTGGAACTCGCAAAGAGCAGAGGTGGAGAAGGAGGAAGAGGGCTGAGGTAGAGGCGGGAGCAGAGCAATATAACTGACCAGGCGGCATGAAAATGAAATGCGACGCTCAAACTCACGTCAGCATCAGCGAAAGCGAAAGCGAAAGCCTAAAACTATTAATTTCATCGTAGCAGAGAAGCACGGAAGAACGGTTAGGCAAGTGTGAGAGCGAATGGCGAGAGGGGGAGGACAAGGCTGGCCAGAGCCGGGCTGGACTGTCTGACCGCCCTTTGGGCAGGGAGAAATCTATATTTACGATTATTGAAGTTTATGACGAAACGTTTTCGTATCATTTTGCGTCGCCTCATAAATGTTAAACGAGAGACTGACAGCGGTCTCACGGCTGGACCATCTACAATCACATAGGGTTGAGAATTTCATAAATGCTTTTGCACGCAAGCTGCTAATAATGCCAGACGGACGGATGGACGGACGGACGGAGTCCAGGCAGCCTGACAGACAAACTGGACCGGACAGATACATACATCGTATTTGTGAGTGGTATGTTGTATACATGATACACACATACATGTACATATGTATACAATGTATATATGTATATATAAATATATGTCGTAGCACAGGTGCCTGGCCAGGGCTTTGGTTACGGATTTGGGTTCGGTTTCAGTTTCGGTTTCGGTTTCGGTTTTGGCTTCTTCTTATATATATGTATATATATATTTTTTCTGCTCGGGGGTTGGTCTATGCTGTATGGCCGCAAAAGTGCAATACGCTCGTAAAACCAATGGCCAAATAGCCAAACGAGAAATGTCTAAGTAAAAATGTTGTGTAATTACGTTGCGTTACGCACAGATAGAGATACAGATGGTAATGAAAATAGAGTGGGGAAAATGGTCAAGCGGTCGGGGGGGTCTACAGCTGGAGCTGGACTTTATGATAGTCGGCAACATCCATCCCCCCTCTCCCCGCCCCCTCTGGCACCACCACCACCCATCCCCCTATACCACCATACAAAAAAGGCAAAAATCGTAGTACGACTCGACCACTGTCAGTTGGAAAAATCATAATTAGGCTTCGGTTTGCCCCCCTTTTTGTGTACACACATGTGTGTGTGTGTGTGTGTGTGAGTGTATGTGTGTGTGTGCCTTTTATTGTTTTAATGAGCAGGCTAGTGCAATTTTTGGCCAGGGCTGGGTCTGCCGTAACTGGCAACTTGTTTCCGAAATAGCTATAGCCAGGCAGCCTCTGTGCCTTATATCAATTGATCTAAGGCTGTTGCCGGCTCTAGCAATTGTCTGTCATTTCGTGTCGTTCAAGTTGAGGAGCGCATATGTATATGTATATGTATATATATTTTTTTATATTTACGAAATGTGTAAGACATCGCGGATAACTACTTATCTATAAGAGTTTTATTGAAAACACATTTTATATATATAAACATATTTATATTTCCTCAACTAATTATGTTATCGCATATGCCATATGTCATATGTATGTAAATAAATATCTGAGCGGAAAAGGCCTATTACTTAGCCTAAACTCTTAAATTATTGTAAAATACCATTCACAAAAATTTGTATCTATAACAAAGAGTGAAATAAATTGAAACTGAAATTCAAAATATTTTATATTATTCCAAAATGATATAAATAATATGCACACTCTACTCAAATCTAATGTCACTTATTTACAATCATGTATGCTTTTCTCTTTTATCAGTTTGAATTCGATCTCAGTTCCTGTGCGAATAACGTCAACGGAGTTTAACCTCAAGCTCACCTCAGTTCATCTTGTCACTTTCAAGTATCTTTGCAACTTTGCGACAAGACATTACATACATATATATAGGTAAAAGGTAAAAATTTTCGGAAAACGAATAAAATTAATAATAATATACGACTTTTGCAGCGTTATTAAACGATATTACATTGTGGTTGTTGGACGTTTCATATTAATTCATATTAAGACAAGAGAACTGCTTTTTTTTTGGTGAGTATTGCGTATTTGATTGAAGTGCTAAGTCTTATATGTATTCCCTTAGCATCAATTCAAACATGTCTGATTTGGAGTTTGGAAATACCGCTTCCGGCGTCGAAAACTGTGAAGCCTATGTTAATCCTCGTCCCGGGCTAGTCAACTTGGGAAATACGTGTTTTATGAATAGCGCCCTGCAAGCGTTGTCGATGACACCTGAGTAAGTGCCGCACTTCACACCGTCGCTCCTTCGCTCTTACCCAGACTCTGTCCTGACTTGCAGCTTTTGTCGTAACCTAATGCTCTCCGAGTGCAAGTCGAAAATTGTTGTGCACTTGCAACGTCTGATTGCACTGATGCATTATTCGCGTCACCACGTGCTTGTGCCACCATCGGTGCTCTCTGCCAGCAACAGTGCGATGTTCGTAGCCGGCGAGCAGCAGGACATCTCGGAGTACTTGGGCTACTTGCTCAACTCGTTGAGCGAAGCCGAGAAAGCCAAGGGATGTGTGCCTGCATGTGACGATCAACTGAATCTAACCATTGCTGATAAATCATTCTCGGGACAGCTGACAAATATTTACAAGTGCCTTGTTTGCTCCCACGAGAGTCGCATTCCGAATAAGTTCCGCGAGCTGCAGCTCGCCTTTCCTGAGTGCACTGGCAATCCTAAGATAAACTTTACTGTGCAGAATCTGATCGAGCATAACAGCTTGCCTGAAATTCTCGATGGGGATAATAAATACGCATGCCCCACGTGTGCCACTTATTGCAAGGGTGAGCATCACATGAGGATCACACAAGGACCGCGCAACCTCATCATCACTATCAAACGCTTCGGTTACGACAGAGCAACCCATCAGCCTACTAAGCTCATGCATAAGGTGTATCACAACAACTCGGTGAGTGGAACATTAAATATATAATATATATGTCACTCTAGAGAGAAAGGGAGGCGATAGCAGAGATGAGAAAAGAAATATGCATATGAATGCATAGTGGAGAAGGAAGAGAGCAGAAAGGAAGAAGGATAGTAGAAGGAAAGATAGCTGGAAGAAGAAAGAAGAGACCAGACAGGAATAGGGAAAAAGCATATATACAAAATTAGAGAAAAGAAAATAGAAAATAATTAATTACAAAGAATAAAATAGATAAAAGGCAGATGGGAGACGGGGAAGGGTCTCAGAAGAGGTAAAGGATAGCATGTACTACAACAGAAGCCAGTAAAAACTTGATCTCATATGGAATGGCTTGTAAGGATATGACCTAAGCATCCTTCTGAGTAGTCCTTAAGGAATAACATCAGGTTGATCCACGATTTCTAGTTCGGTAAATGGTGAGCTATGCCAGGCCAACCTCGTAGAAGCCCCTCAGTCCAAAAAATCTCTTTAAAAATATACCATATTCAGTTGTCAAACTATCTTCACTTTCCTTTCTCATAGATATCATTGGAACAATATGACAACGCAATGCAGCAATTCACCATCCTGCTATATCGACTTTACGCTATTGTAATACACGTCGGTAATTCCCTTGACTCTGGACATTACTATGTACTAGCCCGGGATGCGGAGCACAGGTGGATCAAGTTTAACGACAGCGAAGTGTCTTACGTGAAGTCCTCGGAAGTTCGACATTTGCGTTCCCAGAATTCAGCACATATGCTTCTCTATGCTTTGAACGATGAAGTGGACATGGTAGCGGAGGAGGATAAGGAAAATGCGGCACCAATGTCACATATGGCACCGCTTACCCTGGAAGAGCTGCCGGCCAAGCTACGCAAATTCCTCAAGCGCAACTTGGGAAACGAACCGCCAAATCAGACAACACAATAACCACAACAACAACAGATAGCTGAATAGTCTATATATATGAACAATGTACATAATGTATATATCTTTTGATCATATTTATTGTATTATATTTATATTTATATTTAAATTTAGTTTTGTATTTATATTTGTATTTAAATTTATATTTATATTTGCATTTATATTTCTATTTCTATTTAAATTTATATTTATATTTGTATATATATGTACATATGTTTCTATGCCTTTTTTATACACATAACAGAATATTTTGTACATACAAATCAATAAATATGTATATATGTTTGCAATATTCCGACTAGTTTCGTTTTGTATCTGTAGAGCTTTCCACATTCTCCGTTTACAGGGCTATTAAGATCCAGTCCGCCCTGTCGCACAATTATGGACAAGAGTAACAAGCCAGATAACATTTAAACGAAATCGCTTTAAAATCAATTAACCGTAAAATCACTCGGCTATTTGCAACAACAATCGAGCCGCGAGTCCCGCCGGACCTTTGTTGCTCTCGGACATCGATGCGACGCCGCGGCCAAACAATCAAATGTGGTGGCAATAACATTAGCCGCCCGCCCCACTCGCCCCACTCGCCTCTCCGCTCGTCCAGCAGCCGAAAAACGTGGCATGCGTTTGCATGTGTGTCCGTCTGCATGCAGACGGGCAAACAATCTGCCAGACCAAACATGGGCCCCTCCCCCTGATGCGCATTCGCCATGGGATCCATGGCCCAGCTCCCCCTCCCCACCCACAATCGTAGGCTGCTGCAGTGGACGTGCTGCCAGGTATTAACCTCCATTTAATGTTTAACAAAGCCGCGTTACATGTGCATGGGGCGCAAGAGCAGGAGCAAGAGCAGGAGCAGCAGCAGGAGCAGAAAAAAAGTGAAATATAAAACACAGCGACAAGGCTGTGATGCCACGCCCACTCTCTCAACAGGCAGTCGCCAAACATTTCGATTAACATACGCAAAAACACACACACACACACACACTAACACAGCTGACCAGCAACTGGGGGGAGGAAAAAAAAAAAACAACATAACGTGCACGGACAGCAAATTGAATTGCCGGCAAACAAGGCCGAGACCTGCAGGAAGCTGAGCATTAAAAAAATACAACAAAAAAATCACAATCGGAGTCGCAGTGGCGAAGCGACGATGGCATACGAGGAGCATCAGCCTGTCACATCGTCATCAGAATCGTTTTAAACAAAACGGACTAATTAAGCGCACGTTGTAGTCCACGTTTGACTTGCCCCGACCGGAACTGCTGCACGCCTGAGTCGACTCACCTGTCGCAGCAAAATGACTTGTCGGAACGAACAAACTTAATCAGCGACTAAAGGGCGGTGCTCAAAAAAATGATGGGCGCCTAGCTGGGCTGCCAGCTGGCAGCTGAAGTGTTTGGGAAAATTTTAGGAAATTTTAATAGATGAATTCTGATCACAATTAGAGCCGTTTCTTCTGCGATAAACAAACAAGGTAAGTAAGCGTTAAAGGCCTACTCCTAAAGTAAACAAGTAAGAAAGCTCTAGTCGAGACTGCTCGACTACGAGATCCCCTGAACCCTTGGAGTAATAGCTATTTCAATCATTTTTCGCGTCTTTCAGCTTACACAAGAAACACGCACACACACACACACACATGCACGCACACACAGGCATACACACACACACACACACAAGCATAAACACGCATGGGCGGCAGTGATCGCTTACTATGAGAAATTAATTGTTTAATATCTTTTTTTGTGGACGTACGAACTTCATGAAACTTTCAGATTATGATTATAACATGGATATGCATGTAGTTGCCAAAGCACAAGTCTCTAGTATTTGAAATACGTTTTTTACAAAAGTGAGGGTGAGGGGGTGAATCTAGGGGTGGGGGGTAAATTTTAACAAAAACCGAAATTGTATAAATTGCATATAAAAATACATTTAAAAAATGGAGACTCTAGCTATAAAGGTGTAGAAGATATAATTTTATATATATTTATATATAGAAGATATAATTTTATAACTGGTATTCGATAAGGGTTTTTATCGATAAAAAAAGATCGGGATGAGTTATCGATTTTTAATGATAAACTTGATATGCGCGCTGTAATTACGGACATTTTAAAAAAATTTGAAGTCTCTAGCTCTTATATCTTCGGAAATCGACGCGTTCAAACATACGGACAGACGGACAGACAGACAGACGGACAGGGCCAAATCGACTCAGCTCGTCGCCCTGATCAAGAATATATATACTTTGTGGGGTCTGCCACGCCTCCTTCTGCCTGTTACATACATTTCAACAAAACCATTATACCCTGATTTCCCATTTTCAATGGGTTCAGGGTATAAAAAAAAAGGCTAAAGACGAATCCATCTAGAAGACTAAGAGTGAACAATCATTGACTTTTAATAAACTATTCATTTTGTATAAAATGTTGCTACTTTTCTTTCTTCACTTGCAAGTTTTTTTTCATCAGAATAGATTTAACCCAAGTGATCTGCCTATTTTGTTTAACATTTGCTCTAGATTAACCAAGGTAATTAAATATGTATATGGCATTTATAAGTATATAATATGTAAACCTATCTGCGCCTTTATATAAATATTTATTTCAATTGAGCTGCTGTTGCGCTCAACCTGCTCCAACCACAGACTCCTTATGAATAGAGCGAAAAGCAAGCTGAACGTATAGCAACAACAACAACGAAATCTCTTTTTGAGTAGACAGTCGCAATGGTTCGGGTAGTTAAGGCGCTTTGATGTATATGTGTCAGTTGTCCACTCACACACACACACAAACACACACACACTCACACATCTATATAGAAGCATTTTTGGTGTATCGCCGCGTAAATCCGTCTTTGAATAATGATGCCGTTGATAGCTAGGATTATAGCTCAGACGCAAGCAACGAAATCATCTCTCAGCTACTCCCTCTCGCTCTCACTCTCAGTGTGTCTCTCACACACACATGTGTGTGTTTGTGTGTGTGTGTGCAGCCAGCCTGGCCATTTATTTATTATGCCACAATATTCAATGACCCTTAATGGCATTTCGTAATAAAAATATTGGATTAGTTTGTTAGTTTTGGTCGCGCTCGGGCATATCAACCACCGTCGAGGGGCCCATCGTAGCGCTCAGCCACCCACTGGACACTTTATCAACTGGCCCGGCATTACGTATTCCATTAAACGCCTAATGAGCCCATTGTGCGGCGTGTCTGGGGTCATCAGGGGCCAGTCTCGGCTAGCCTCGGGAGGGGCGTGGCTGGCGCCCAGGTACTTAGACTTAGTTAGTGATCAAAGCGGCAACGCGTGCATATGTATGTATATGCCACGCCCCAAAACAGCAATGACTACTATCAATTTTTGTGTCTAGAAAAAAAATACGAAATTTTATGTAAATAAATATATTGGTATATCAAATGAATGATACATATTTTTAAGCAAGAGAAATCGAGTCGGTCGAGACTGGAATTTGCTTAAATTTGAGATATATGTATTTATGTAGTTCTGTTCATAAAATTAGAAGTGCACAAGAATAAAAAATTAATGAAAGCTAAAAAGGATGAACTGCTAGAAGCTGAAGTTCAAAGCATCTACTCCCAAAAATCTCATTATTTGCAGTCTTTGATTTTGATGATTTTAGAGAGGCATAGAAATAGTAGTTCTCCCCTGTAAAGTAAAAATTAAAGTAGAGTTGTAATAGCAATATTCTATTATAAATATTATAATTCCGTTTCATATACGTACATGTATATGAAAGAGTCCATTAATTTTTATTATTTATATATGTAAGTGCAAATAGAATACTTCCATTTTATAGAAATTATTGATTTGAATCTGTTTGTAAATGCAGTTAGAGGTGGAGAGCCATCAATAGTGATGATAGTTAATGAAAAACCATTAATATCATTATTACCGATAGTTTTATTTATTTTCACAACCATCGAAAGTCCACAAAAGTGCGATAACAAATAATCGAACAACTTTGCAGCAATAGAAGACAAGAAGAAGAGAAGCAATAAGAATATTTAATTTGTGCTTTAAAATTTAAAAAGAAAATATGCTAAAAATATTTAAAATACAATCCAAAGGAAATTGGAAAAAAAAACTTATTCTTAACTGTTCGGCAAGACATTGAACACATTTAATAAACAATTGAATTAAAATTGATCTAACAATAAGTCTCAATCTCTTTTCAGATGAAAAACGAAATTCTGTTTAATTGCAGACTCGATGTGGTTAAAGTCGATATGGGATATGCTAGGGCTAAGTGAGGCTGGTAAAAACCTAGAGATTGTAATACGCTTAGCTCTGGGGCTACTCTCATATACATGTAGCATATTAAAATACCAAAACAGCAAATGCCCCGGCACGTAATCGGCATCGGAATCGGAGTTTGGAGCTGGAGCTGGAGCCAGGAGCCGGCACTCGGCACCCGGCGCACGGCGTACGGTAGCCGGATAACCGAATGGCCGGGTAGCTCAGGACCCTTCGACTTGCATGCATGTGACATAATAAATATTAATGACAACTGACCGACAGCCTTGCCATAGATGATCCCTGCCCAGTGGGTGGGCCGAGGGATGGAGGCGGACGCATAGAGTGGAGTGGAGTGGAATGGAGTGGACGTATGTTAGGTAGGTGGCCGGTGGGTTGACGTTGACACACATTCGACATGTGACAGATAAATTATGGCAATTGGATGAATGCCGCCACACCTCTTCAAACGGGCCCCTGGCCAACATCATGCAATTTTGCTTTAGCTATGAGATCATTTTTCATTTTCATTTCCTCTCACTCTCTCTCTCTCTCTCTCTCTCTCTCTCTCTCTCACTCTCTCTCTCTCTCTCTAGTCTGGGTTTCGTTTGTTTGTTTGTTTTTCTTGGTGCGGAGAAGGTTGTGACATATGTGCGTTCACGACTAATGGCAGTCAAGTTTACCATAACCAAAGGACATCAGCCAGCACATACACACATACACACACACATACAGGCGCTCTGTTGAGGGCCATCCTTAATAGTTTTCAGTTCGCAAATGATACGGTTAGCGGACTAATGACTGAATGCCACCAGGCTAAAATAAATTACAATAATCATTTATTGTTCAATAAGCCCAAAATGAAGGCATGCTAAAGTGGGTGTAGCTACGACTCTCTATCGGTGTAAGAGCGTGTGAGTGGGTGTGTGTGTGTGTATGTGTGGGTGCTGTCCAAAGTTCAGGCATGCATACAAATGTGTAATAAAAATAATGACAGCATCTTTGGCAGCCAGCTTTTAGATCAGTTTATCACATTCATCAAGCGAATGATAAAACCCCAAACTTGCACAGCTGCTTAATCGATTGATTCACTTTTGCTCAGCGAACACTGTGAAAGTAAAAGAATGGTTCGAGCGATAGATAAATATATATTTAATATTTTATTTTAAGTATATTATATATTTTGAAAATATTTTCAAACACTTAAGCCAAGAGAGTAAGTTAAAGGTCTCTCTAAAAATGTTACAATAGCACCAGACCCAGGCTAGGACAAAAAAATACCTGAAAGCCCAAAGAAATAAAGAAATTATTAGTAATGTAATAATAATAATAATAATAATAATAATATTTATTGATAAAAATATATATCAGCCATCTTTGTGTAGTTCTCCACTCCTCTCCATCTTCATCCTACAACATACATACATACATATATTAATAAAGATAGCGCCGATTTCCTCTCTCAATATATTATTTTTCTAGCTAATAAGCAGCACTATACAACAAATTTCAGAGATAAGGAAAAAAGAAAAACGCGTTGATAGCGCTATCAATAGCTGTTTGCTGGCCACAATATTTACCGTTGTAATAGCAGAATACGGTTACCAATAATGAAAAGCAATACAAAAGCTGCCAAGGATTATTTACAAGCGAGGAGCTTAAAGCGAAAACCAATTCAAAAGACCGAAAGAAACCAAACAAACAATAACAACAACAGCCCAACAACGAACAACAACGGCTTGCCCCGCCCGCCCGCACCCCCTCCGCGCTTCGGTCTGCAGCCACAAGAGCCACCCAAGCACCCAGCCAAATGGTGGTCGCTGTGCCAGGGGTCTAAGTAATACGCGTGCATAAAAGAATCAAAAATCTAGATTTTGATTTGAGATATACTACTATGGACTATAGAGACAGACGGGCAGCTTGTTAAGTTTGGCTGCCAGGCTGGAGCTGGAGCTGGAGCTGGAGCTAGAGCTGGGGTCTGGATACTCTGGGGTCACAACAAAGTCCTGTTCGTCCTGTGGGGATGTGTATCAGTAGCAACAACAGCTGTAGCAGCGGCGCGGGCCATAAGTCAAGTGGCGCTTAATGCTTGTGGAGCGGCGCGCGTTTTGGCCGCGACTAAAATCGCTCGCTGACTGCGACTGCGAGACCTCAGACTTTTCGGTTCTCTTTGGTGGTTTTTTATTTCTTATGGATTCCACTTCAATGAATTGAAAAATTGCCTTGAACAAATTTGATGCTGCTTTGCATTTTGTTGTCTCCTGTTTTTTTTTTGTTTTTTTTCGCTCTCTCTTGTTTCATTCAACTCGGAGGGTTTCCCTGGGCTCTGGGGTAATTTGTGGGATGGGCCAGGGCAGCCCCAACAACAACTGTTTTTCAAACATGACATTTGACATTTGATAATGTCATTTGCCGCGTAATTGTTTTTTGATTTGATGCCCCGTTTTGCCATTTGCCATTTCAATGTTATCATTTGCCGTTGTTGTTGTTGTTGTTGTTTTTTTTTCTGTTTATCTGCCACTTTGGTATTTCCGTGAAGCAGGCAAAAGCAATCGGCGATGCCCCCAAACTCCTCCCCATATAATACAAATTGATTTGACTGGAGATGCCAAATGACGACCATTGTTTCGTGCTTATTTAAAGAGATTTTAGGTTTACTGATAGATTATTTCCCTAGATATATCATCTGAAAATCCGTCTATATACAAAAATTATTCGAAACAAAATTGGATGCTCTACTTCATTTATTTAAGCATTTATATATGGGATAAGGTACATACGCATATTAACATTTATAATTTAATGTTGTTCCATAAATGAAACTAGTCGAGTAAATAACTAAATAGTCCACTTCAATGTGGGCAGATGCAAAGTTATAAAGTTGCGAAGTTGGATAACAAAATATGAACGATTATTTTACCAAAGTTATTTTAACGATCGCCTGCAAGAGAAGAGAGGAAAGGAAATACATTAAAATCATATAAGGAAAATCAGTAGATCCGGTAGTGCCGGACTAGCAGATACCCTACAACAGCCTGCGCAGAGTATTTATAGTAACTTAACTGTTGATTTATGCAGAATGTGATTAATAATAGATCTGTATGGGTTTACTTTCGAGAAACTCCTATTTGAAATATTCTTGAGAAGTATCCCAAGTCCAAAATGTGCTAAATCTGTTTATTACCACCATCATAGATTATACGCTATTTAAGCTATGCTTAAAATATGTAATTGAGCTATTGATTGTTATCGATACGAAGTAAACAAGTTTAGTTATCGAAAGTAGTTTTTGTGGTGTACGAATTGGCTGCGTACATACGGATGAACAGACAGGCGGAAAAACATGTTCAAACGAACGTGGCTGCAATGCGGGATGTGCCACGCCTTCTCCTGCTTTTTACATACACTTTCGCAAAATTGTCATACGCTTAATTCCTGTTATCAGCCAGTTCATATTTATAAATGACTCCGTTATATAGTATATACATCAACTATGCCTTGAGCTCTGAGCTCAACTCGAATCGATTCGTATTCACTCATAGAAATATAAAGTATATATCTATGTAGCCTAAATGTATTCACGTTCATACCTGGCGATGAGGCTGTATATTCTTGGCCGCAAAAATCCAAGGGAGTGGCCTGAGTATCGTTGTCATCGCCTTTATCCTGATTGAACGGGATGACCGGCTCTGCGATAGGAGTGTAAATATAGTGATTGCCGAATAAGTTAGGCGGTGGCGATGGCGGCTCTGTTGAAATCGGACCTAAAACGAAGTTGTGATGTGATGCGAGAATTAGAGATGGAAAGCCGATACGGCAACGCCACTCACGATGTATGTTCTCTACGCGATTCAATCGGTTCGTTCCCCCAAAGGGAGGAGCTGCATTTAAATTGTTGCCATTGTTAGAAAGTTTAGACATCCTTCCGTTACTCCCGTTGATATCAAAGCCATTACCAAACTGCGATGGATTGACGGACACCCCAATGATACGTTCTACAAATTGAGTTGGCATGATTAAATGTTCGAAAATAATTCCAATAAATCATAATGTATCGATGCTTACCTGGCAGAGCCTGCATCTGATTGAAGGTATCGAGTGGCTGATTTAGAAAAGCTTGCATATCGAGTGGCGATGGCGACAAGGAGGAGCGCAAGGAGTCCGTCCGATGCACCGTAATGCTCATTGCCATCGATAGCGCACGAGCCTGAGCCGAGGTGCTGGGCATCATATTGATGAAGTTGTTGCCCTGCAGCCCAGTGGGCAGCAGTGGGAACGATTTCAGATCGGGCGAGCACGCACGTGTCTCCAGCTGGGCCTTGGGTGGGGCCAGGCCACTATCAAACCAGTTAGGCATCAGCGGCTTGACCTGCTGGACATTGGTTTCCTCGTTGATGGCCAGCGAGGCCAAAGCGGCAGCCAGCACATCCCCTTCAATGTCGCCGGTCTCTGGAAATGGGAAAAGAAAAGAATGGAGAACATTAGACAACTCACTTTCCGCACTGCGCGCACTCGGTTACCCGCATTCATCTGCCCATCAGCTGACTTCTCTCGCTTGGCCCTGCGTGCCGGCGAGTCCTTGTAGGCATGGAGGTTGTCCTCGCGTATGCGATTTGCCCGAAACTTTTCAATATGCTCCATTCCGAACTCACAGTCCAAGTCGATTTCCACCTCCAATAGTTCAGATTCCCTCACCGGCTTTTCTGCAATGAAATGTTCATAGACAAATATATGTATATATATATATTTATATTGTCTGTCAATCAGGCCGATCCAATCCACTTACTTCGCAATCGCTTAGATAGCTTTGATCCGTTGGAAGGTTTGACAGCTCTCTCAATGGGATTGTAATTTTGTTTGGGCAGGGTGCCCGTGGACGTGTTGACAATTGGAGCAGGCGCCTTGTCCTCCTCTTCTTCGGCCTTATTCTTTTCGTCTTCCTTTTTGGTATCCTTTTCCTTTTCGTTTTCCAATTCGTTTTCCTGTTCCGCCTCGTTATCCAGCTCGGCGATGGTCAGTTGATCCGATCGAGCCGAGCATATGGGCATCGGCGGAGCTCCAGTCTCGGCTAGACTCATGCAGCGCTGCAGCTGCAGCACGAGATTGTCCACTAGCGTGAAAATAACTGCGGAACCAAAACAATTTTTATGTACTGCAACAGTGGCTGCACTTGAGCTCGACTTACAGAGGGCGCGTCGTTCGCGGGTCTTGGCCATGCGCTTGGGGTAAGGAAAGGGCGCATCGTAGCCGAGCCCGTTGCGCTTGGGCGGTGTACACTGGGCGATCTTGGTATCCTCCACAGAGTTGCGAGAGTTGCGTCGTGCCGGACGCTGCACTTGGTTGCAGATGCAACGCGGCGGCGGCAATGGGGGCACCGTGTCCAAGTCGTTCGGCTGCGCCTCCTGCTGCTGTTCGTTCGGCCCATTAACGGCCAACTGCTCAGGCTCAACAGCCGCGTTCGGCTCATGCTCCAACTTCGACTCCGGTTCCGTCTCCGACTCGGTCTCCGATTCCGACTCCGGTTGCAGCTCCAGCTTCGACTCTGAATCCGGTTCAGACTCGGTCTCTGTGTCCATCTCTACCTTCGGCTCCGGTTCCACTTCTAACTTCGACTCCGACTTCGGCACCGGCTCCATTTCTGCCATCGGCTCCGACTCCACTTCCAACTCCAGTCCGACTTCAAACTCCAGCTCCACTTCCGGTATCACTTCCATATTCCACTCCGACTTCCGCTCCGGTTCCACTTCCGCTGTCGGCTCCGACTCCACTTCCAACTCCAGCTGCACTTCCAGCACCGGCTCCGGTACCACTTCCAGCTCCGACTCCCAATTACGGTCCGGCTCCACCTCTAGTTTCGACTCCGGCCCCGGTTCCACTTCCAGCTTGGACTCCGGCTCCGGTTCCACTTCCAGCTTCGACTCCGCCTTCGGTTTCGACTCGAACCCGACTTCTAAATCCAGCTGCACTTCCAACAGCGGCTCCGGTACCACTTCTAGCTCCGACTCCGACTTCCGCTCCGGCTCCACTTCTAGCTTCGACTCCGGCTCCTGTTCCATTTCCAACTTGGACTCCGACTCCGGTTTCACTTCCAGCTTCGACTCCGGCTCCGATTTCATGTCCAGCTTTGGCTCTGGCTCCAACTCCAGCTCCACCTCCAAGTCCGGTTCCGGTACCACTTCCAGCTTCGACTCCAACTTCCGCTTCGGTCCCAATTCTAGCTTCGACTCCAACTTCCGCTTTGGTCCCAATTCTAGCTTCGACTCTGCCTTCGGCTCCGGCTCCGAGTCGGGCTCCGGTTTTGACTCCATCTCCGACTCTGGCTCCGACTGCGGCTCCATCTGCGGCTCTGCCGCCGGCTCCGGCTCCCGCTCAACTTCAATGACAATTTCATATACTTCCAGCATTTCGGACTCCGGGGTTGCTTCCCTTGCTGGTGGTGGCTCAATTAGTGCCATGCGTTGGATTTGAATGTGACGCTCTAGACGCTCCTGTTGCTGTGCCACGATATCCAATAGCAGCTGCTGCTCCTCGAACAGTTCGTAGAGGTCGTGCTCTAGGCGATAGATGAAATACTGGTCGGCAATAGGATCCTCAGGTGAGCTGGGGCGGTCCAATTGCGGCATTTCACTAGCACAAAAGCTCGAATTTAATGGAGTCTGAGAGTCTGAGAGTCTCAGGCCTTGCTACCCCTAGAATAGATGAGCTGGGCACGCCCAAATAGCAAAAGAGATTGGTTACCTATTGGTTATTGGCTATTGGCTATCAGCTATCGATACGCTATGGCATTTCGAGCAGGCGCAGTAGCCGCAGCGCTGCTGTCGGTGCCAGAGCGGGATGCCAGACACAGAGCACGCACACACATATAGAGACACACACAGAAAAAAAAAGAAAAGAAAAACAAGGACAAGCAAAAAATAGCCGATGAGAGAATCACCGTGGAGAGGGAGAGAAACAGAGAATGCAAAGCGTACCATGAAATTGGCAGCCGTTTGGCTTGATGAGGAACTCGAACAGAGCAGGAGTGGGCCGCAGTCAACAAGGGCTTTCACTTCCGGCTGCTGTTGGTGCTGCCACCCAAAATGCACAACGTTAGCCGTAAATTGCGCTACATTTTTATATAGTTTTCGCCCGGAGGCAGCCAGACGGTGTCAATTTTGGACAACAATCGCAGGGCAGGGCAAGGCAAGGCAAGGCAGTGGAATGGCCACAGATGACCAGTAACAAAAATATAACTGGAGGAACGAAACGAATGTAGATGCCGAATTCATGGCCCTACAACCAGACTAGAACTGCTCGAGAAGGCAGTGCTGGCTGAACAGATACCCTACTATATTATATGATTGCATTGTCAATAGAAACTATGTTTGATATTCGTTTATACATAATTATAAACGGTTATATATATGATATACATATACGAATATTCTCTTATATATAAGATCTTATACAAATCACACATATCTGCATTGCAGATATTGAATATAAATTTCTATTATCTATTCCTTAGAGTTCTTGAGATCAGCTCAAATAGATAACAAATAGATAACAGCTCAATAGATAACAAAATAATTAAACTATGTATAAAATTTAAAATTATTTGATTATTTATTATATACTAAATTGCTGCACTAAATTCCTAAACTATAAGAAGCACTCTTAAGAGTTTCAACTATTCTCTAGGAGAGATAAATTCATTTACGACTAATAATATAACTTGGATGCTATGGGTGGAGGAGGCATCAAAATATATTTCTAGAAAATATTTTAGATATGCAAATAAAAATAACATAATCTAGTGATTATTAAAAAAGTATATTTAAGCTACAATTTAAAGCTATAAAGTTAATATGATCTTAGGCAATTATTTATTTCTTAATAATAAAAATGTAAATGTATACGGCAAATCAAAACAGAATATTAAATAAATTATAAATGAGAATCAGAAATGATATCTTTTATATCTTCAGGAATATATCTATAAAATATTAAAAAGATTATTAACGGGAATCAGAAATGGTATCTTCTATATCTACATGCATATATTTATAATCGTATCTATATAACTCGAGCATTAAAAGTATATTCTACCACGCCTGTTAATATCGAAAAAAAAAAAAAAACGCACAGGTGAATCGTCAGGTTCCTTTAAATTGCAACTCCAACTGCATTCGGTTTGGGTTAAGAGCTATTCGCGTGCTCACTCACCCCTGGCCGACCCGACTAATAACTAACGCCACCTCTTGTCGCTGCTGCTGCTGCTGCTGCTGCCGCCGCCTCCTGCCCCGCCCAGCCCCAGCTGGCAGCAAAGCAGCCCTGGGCTCCTATCAAACCCTACAAAGTTAGTTTACGGCCAAAGTTCAACGGGAAAAAAATCCAGCATAAAACTCATAAAAAATTGCAAAAAAAAAAAAAAAAATAAAAAAAAAAAAGTGAACGAGAGGAGTAAAAAAATTGGCCAAAAGCTAGTCACAAAAAAGTCACAACGTGTGAGAATCGTGAAAATGCTGTAAAACAAAAATATATATATGTATATACATATATACATTTATATATCTGTATGTGTGTGGTATATATATAATGTATGTATGTCTGTATGTATGAGTGTGCATAAAAAACTGAATGCAGACGAAAAAAAATTGGTTTGTAACGCAATTCTTTTCTCCCCCTCCCAATTTTCTGCCATTTTTTTTTTCGTGATTCGCTTTTCATTTGGCGTTGGCAGCCATTAGAGCAAAAATCAGCAGCATCAGCGGGCGCCAGTGGGTGGGGTTGGGCGCCCGAGCTGCAGTGTTGGTTAAAGGTTAGTTATTGTTGTTGTAGTTGTTGCTGTTGTTGTTGTTGCTGCAGTTGTTGCCACACATGTGGAAATTGTGCGCGTTTTGCAGTTTTTTAATTGACCAACAAATTTATTTGATTCGTTAGCGAGCGACGCGGCGCTTTCTTTCCTCTTAGCTCTTTTTATATGATATATACATAGAGAGAGTGAGAGAGAGAGAGGGAGAGAGAGAGGAGATAGTCATATAGAAACTGGCATTAAATAGTATTCACCTAAGCTTAAAGTCAGCCAAAGCCTGTTTAACTAAATCTCTGTTGTCCCCAAATCTGCCTCTCTCCCTCACTCGCCCTCAGCTAGCCAATTGAAATTCAAAGCCAACACGGCACGCTGCTCTGGGCGTGGGTGGGGGCTGGGGCTTGTTGTCTTGCTGTTGCTTCTAAGGATTACATATTGGTAAACAACCGATTACAACAACGGCAATAACAACAGGGACAACTGATTGTGCTGCAAATTTGTTTGCCCAACGGCTGTCGTCCCTTCCCGCCAGGCACATTTTTAGGGCGGCTAGCGGGTGGGTGTGGCTGTTTGATTTGATTGTTGACTTTATTGGTCAAGCGGTCCTTTAGTGTTGTCGCTTTTGTTGTTGTTTGTTGTTGTCGTTGTTGTTTGTTGTTTGTTGTTGTTCTTTGTGCCTAGGCCAGGGCTTGAGCTTGGGCTTGTGCTTGTGCTTGTGCTTGTATTGCTTTAACGATATTTAATCTATGATTAGAATCGTTTTTGGTCAGCAAAATCAATTAAACGCTACACTTGACTTAATTTATTGTCGCGCTCGATGAGCATAAAAGACAAGTAGCCGCCAGTCAAGTGTTGGGCGTATACTCTGTAAGTGAGCGATAGATGGGGTATATACATGCATATGTATGTGTATTCCCTTTTGATGTCAGTTCATTGTGATAAAGAATATATATTTGGGCATTGCTCTTCAATCAGCTCAAACTATACATATATAATAAGTAGCCCATATGCCATATATACCCTGTAATTGTCTCTTCAACAAGGCATGCTAAATATACACAGAAATACTCATTTCTATTCATAGACCCACTATCACTATAGCTATGTCTGCTATGTAAGCTCCTCTTATGGATCCCTTATTATAGGGTATTCGCCCAACAATCACTCAACTCTTTCTCCTTGGGATTTTCGTATTTGTTAAGAGGTCGTCTAGCAAGTGAATACCAAAAATGCGATGCAAAATGATATCATATGAACTGAAATGGTCATAAAATCAAATTGGCCTCTCGCTCCAGTCCAGTCCAGTCCAGTCGAATGCCAATAAAAATACGACAACAAATCTGAACACACTCAAAGCGCTTTGTCGGTGTCCGTTCGCTGGCTTGTTTTCTGGTCTCGGCTATCTTTATAGCTCGATCTCGTTCGCCGACCGATGTCGATGACGATGACCGGCGACGCTGAAGATAATTGTTTAGCTTGGCCAGCGGGCGGCGAACGGACCGACATACAATATATTGCAAAAAAAAAAAAAAAATACAAATACAAATAAATATATAAATAAAAAAAACTCAAACTAAACATAATTAAATGAACTAAAATACTAAAGTATTCGAAGCTCTGGCATTAGATGATCTTAGCTTTGAATTCGCATGAGGAAAAGCCAAATATGAATTCTCTTGATTTGAGATAGTTTCAAATATCAAACGGATTTGTTTTTAATTTTTTTTATAACCTTTTAAATGAAAAAAGAAAAGGAAATAAAAAAATTATATATTAAAATAAAAATCTAAAAAGAATTTTAAGTCATTCAAAAAATATTTAAAAAATTTTTCATGTTCAAGGAGAGAATTCGCTACTGATGTTAATATGTAACTTGTACATATCCATATACAGCCCAGTAAGATTTAACTATAGATAAAACATGTGAAAGCCGAATCACTTAGCCTTCCTGCTGTTAGCTAGTCAAAGCATTGGGACAAATCCAATTCGAATTGCTCTTACGAAGCTACAATATGCAAATGACCTGAGCTAGACGTACACTGCGAGAAAAAAATAAGGTGAGCTGCAAGGGTTGGCATTAAGTATTCTGTTTAATGATGCAATTGGAATTTGATGACTCGGAAAACTGACTGCGGCTGCTGCTGCTGCTGTTGCTGCTACTCCTGCTGATGGAACGCAATCAATGCGTTGTCACTTTTGGACTAACAGGACTTCGAATCTGGAAGCTGGAGGCAGAGAGTCCGCTGTCCGCCGTGCTTTATCCGCAGTGTCAACAGCAGCAGCGGGCCCAGGTAAATTGCAACCAATAATAATGAATAATTGAAAATCCAATCAAACACCAAATGAAAACGGAGGCCGTGCTGCCATTGCCTTTGCCATATTCATATCCCATATCGCCCACAACAAACGCCCAAATGCCCCACCCAGCCCCAGCCGCCCATCAATTCGCGCACCACCCCGTTAGCCACATTTTGACAAGGCCGGCTGGCAGCGACTGGTGTTGATTTTGCCGGCTTTATCGAAGGACATTAGCAAACGGTCGTTGGATTCGGTGAAAATGCAATCAAAAGTGTGGGCCAACAGACAAGCAAAACAACAAAAACAACAACAGCAACAGGAATAACAGGAATAACAACAACAACGGCAAACCAAAGCGACCTGCATAGATGACACCCCAGGGACATGGCCAAAGTCAATGAATGGTAATAGGTGTCGACATGGCGTTAGGGCGTGGCGGCCATACTCATACCAACACACACACACAGCCACACACACACACACACATATGTGTTGGTGGGGCTTTATTGGTGTTGTTCTTGCTGATTGCCACTTTCGGCCATGGATCGAATATGCTCCGGCCGGCAGGCAAGCAGTTAGCACAGCGATTCAGGATTCACAGCCAAGCTCTGGCTCGCATTCGAGTTGAGCTTCAGGTGGTCGGGCAACATGCATTAATTGCCAACTAAATTGACTTTGACTGCTCGTCTTGGCCCGACTGCTGCATTGATTCCATTGCCATTTGAGGCGCTTGCCTCGATTCATGTTTGGCCAAACCACTTTACAAATTAATTGTGCTCGGCCCCATGACCAGATTGAATAGTTGATGTCAATTAGAGCTGTAAATGTAATATGTAGTTATTAGCTCGGAATTCAGTCTATTCGATATGATGTATAAGAGGAACTGAGCAAATGAAATTCTGGCTTTTTACATACATCAAAGGTTTTCCTTTTTTCTTTTGAGCAATTCCAATATTTATATATTTGGTAAAGCTCTTATGATGAAATCCGTTAATATAGATTACTAAAGTACTGAGGCCTCATTAAAATAGTTCGAGTCTCTTTCAGGCATTTCATTTGCTGAACAGTGCATGAGCTGAACTTTCATATGCCACGCCTGCTGCTTTCTGTTATATTTTTACGAAATTGTGAGTGAGAGCTTTCTTCCATTTTCAATATCGGGATTACGTACAAGATTTCAAGTGTCCAGCACGTCTTCAGGCAAATGAACATCAGGCTCGGTTGTTTCTCTATTATTCAATGAGTATATTCACTTTATCACAGTCAGCCTGCTTACTCTAAGGAATATAAACTAAACCTTTAAAGTAAATTGTTAATCTATATTTATGACAAACAATTATTAATAACATTAATGAATTTAAATAAGAATCCATTTAAAATAAAATATCTTTAACAAAAAAAAAAAAAAAAAAAAAAGAAAGTAAAAAGCTCTAGTCGAAAATGCTCGACTAAGAGATCCTCGATGACCTGAACCCTTTAAAGGAACTAATATTCCATCGCGTCTTTCTGCTTACACGCACCCAGCCACGCACGCATAAACACGCATGGGCTGCAGTATGGGCTTAACATGGGAACTTAATTGTTTAATAACTTTTCTTGTGGATGGACTTCATGGATCTTCATGAAACCATTTTCAATGGGTTCAGGGTATACAAATATGTTTACTAACAAATTTTCATTTGAATTCCGTCTGACGCATTCGTGGCGAAAATGCAAGTGGGAACTGGGAATCGCGTTGGCGCGTGTTTTGCTTTTTGTTTGCTCAGCGCAAATAAGTTAAATATTTTTATTGGGCTACGTTGGCAAACAAACAAATGTTGCGTATTGGAAATGCCACAAGGCGATCTGTTGCCACAATGCCAGCGCTAGCTCTATGCTCTCACCCACTCTCTCTCTCTCTCTCTGGCGTGTGGCACACGTTTGGCTGCAACCCTCCGCCGCATCGAAGCCGCAAACGCATTGCAAATTGTCGCTTGCGGCACTGGCAAGACAAAAGTTTATATTTGCCTTTTTGCAACACTGATATGGCAAATACACACACACAAACACACTCATACACACTCGCTGGCAGGCACACACACTCGTGTCTATATTAAATTTTGATATAATTACACGCAAATATGCCGCTAACGTTGAAATTGACTGGAATCTGAGTTGTGTGTCTGTGTTAGTGTGTGTGTGTGCGTGTGTGTGTCTGTCGAATGTTGTTCAATTAACGTGGCGCAGTGTTTTTGTTTTTGTTGTCTGTTAGTGTATCGAGACCCCTCCACAACGTGCACTGAAATGGGACCGCAAGCGTTTTGCCCGCTGCCAAAATGTTGGACTGCAATTCGTACGAGTGGCGCGAAAGGCGGCGACACAGCGCAACAGCCAACATGTTGCACAAATATAAACATAAATCAATTAACAATTCCCGACAACGACGACGTACGGCAGGGCTGCCTCTGCCCCTGCCCCTGCCCGCCTGCCCTCTGCTGGCTGGCTGTGCACTTTTTGGCCTCTCGCCTGCGGCCCTCGATGCCAACCAAAATCGACAATTTGCGACAGCTGCCGCGTTGTCTGCGTAAATTGCGAGTTGCCTACTTTTAGGCGAGCGTTGAAATGCCAAAGCCGACAGCGTGAGAGTGGATGATGATGCTGGTTCGTTTGTGTGTGCGTGAGTGTTTGTGTGTGTGAGTGTGTGTCTTACCTCGACACAAAATTGCAAATCAAATGAAAAGCTTTCGTTTCACACCAATAATTTACCTCTCAGTTCGTGCAGCTGCTTAAAGGCGCGATTGGGATTTTTGAGATCTGTTATACAGTGGCTGTTTCCAAAAAGCTATAAAAAATTAAAAAAAAAAATATATAAATTAATCGATAATAATATATTAAAATTTTTAAAATTTAATAGATAAATTTTAAATAAATTTTTTAAAATTTATATTTATATATGTATAATTTTAAAATATTTTTATTAGTTTGATAAAACCAGAAGTAGAGGCAAAGTTGAACTAGGTACAGCGAGCATAGCTCAGCTTCTCATTAATTCAAGAAATATATCTATATATCTATCTATCTATATCTCTCTCTATATATGTATTTAACAGAAATATGCATTAGTTTAGCTATTTAGTCAATTAAGAATGTATGTTTTTTAATATTGATTATATCTCTCACATTGAGGTTCTATAATTTATTTATTGAAAACTTTTGTATGTATGTATGCAGCAGAGGACCAGATCTCTTTATTCTGTCGTTATAAACATCAACCGGCTTGCAAGAAATCAGACGAATGCTAAATAGATTTGAAGCTAGAAATAAACCTACTGTAAATAGTAAGTAATCTAATATAAATCAGTAAAGTTTGAACAATATATTTAAAAAAGAAAAAGAAATTGAAATTGAAATGAAAAATAATTAACATAACTTAAGTTAAAGCTGCTTGTAATATTTTAAATTTGTTTAAACTAATATTTATTTATTATTAAATTTTTATTTATTTTTTTTCACTTGGCTATAATTCTTTTGACCTAAGCTTCCATTCGGCAGTAATAAAAGCAAAGAGCCAATCGAGCCTAGAGCTTGACCAGGACATACCTATTGCTGACTGAAATAAAAAAGTTAACAATAGTGTCAAATATAATTAAGAAATGCTTTCATTATAGTTTCGTTATTGTCTATACACCCTAAGAGGCCTGTTTTAATCTAAATATTTGCGTATATACAAACGGGAATCAAATCCAGCAGCAGCAGCAGCAGTTGGTAACATTATCTGGCCAAGAGTTTCTCATTTCAAAATTTAGTTTTTGTTAATAGATTTGATGTTTGGCTACGTTTCTGTTAAAGAGCACAAAAAAAGAAAAAAAAAGCTGAAAAGGAGAGTGAAAAACAGTTTTGGCTGCTTGTCAATTATTCAGTTGAATGGCTTTTCAAGGGGCAGGGGCTACGCATATTTTATGTGGTCTGATTCACATAAAGTCAATGGCGGCCCATTGCCATTATACACATAAAAAGAGTGAGAGAGAGAGAGAGAGAGTGAGTGGGGGGTATGCACACATGTACATATATAGAGGGAGACAGTTGGGCGATATAGCACACATGCCCATAATGGCACGGCCCGTAAAAGAGTCGAGCCAAACCGAACTGAGCCGAACCGAACAGAAGAGAACAGAACAGAAACTGAAAAACTTGTTTCATAAATTTTCTATTCAAAATGTAATTAAACCCTTTCGCTGGTGCTCCTGCTGCTCCTGCTCCTGCTGCTGCTGCTGCTGATGCTGATGCTGTTCATCTAATTACAACAAAAAGGCATCCTCGAGCACTCAAATATAAGCCCCCCTGATCCTGCCTCTACGACTTTGACTCGAAGCAAAAGGCCCCCGGATAGTACGAGATATATGGCAGCGGAACGGGCCGGGCAGCTGAGCAGGTCGGGGCAATATACTCGATAATTGCAAACGAAATGGCAAAAGGCGACACAGCAGCAGCAGCAGCAGCAGCAGCAACAACAACAACAACAACAACAAGAGCATAGCAAATGGCAGCCAGGACGAGACGCCGCTTCGGTCTCGTCTATTTCCATAAATATCTTCGGAGTCATTAAATTTCACACATGCTGGCGGCGGCAAGCGCTGAATTGTTTTAATTTTAATTTTAAAATTATTGTCATTAATTGATTTTTGATACAAAACCCCATAAAAACCACCCAGTCCCACTTGGAGAGCCATAAATCTGCATGCGTGAGTGTGTGTGTGTGTGTGTGGAAATTTACAGCTGAGTTGGGGTGGCAGGAGTTGGCTGAAAGGCGAGGCAGGAGGCGAGGCAGAAGGCGTGCCATCTTTTTCAACACTGGCGTTAAGTGCGAGAAAAAACAACAACAACAACAACAACAAGAATAGTAACAAATAATTAGTGACTCCGAAAAATGCAAAGGGTTACCGACGACTAGGCTAGGCAATTTGAACGTTTGGGTTGGTTACGGGTGGGTTTGGTCATACGCCTGGCATTGAATCGAGCTGCTCGACTGTCTCTCTCTCTCTCTCTCTCCTTTCGTGTGTGTGTGTGCTGCTGCACTTTACGGTTTTGTGTGATTATTGAGACCATTATTTTTGTTTAATTACGTTACGGGCGTTAATGTGCGGATAGCACCAGCACCAGCAGCCGCTGGAGTGGGAGCAGCAGCAGGAGCTGGGGCTCTGAATTCAACACCCAGAACCTGGTCGCACATTAATTTCATTTTATATTTATATTCAACAACAGTTTTTTAATTTCCAATACATGTTTTTTGCATAAGCTCTGCCAGGGGGTTGGCATTCCTATATACTGGGGGTTGACTTCAATCTGACATTAGTCATCTAAGTATAGCTAAGGCCAGGAATTGGCTATACAATATATGCATATTCTCTTACACATATGTACATATATAAGTCTACCGATCCCAGCAGATATTCATAACCGAAAACGTAAAGCAACACTCAGCTCCTCCGTCATATTTTAGCTATTCGAAAAATCAGTCTCTGACATCGACTATAAGCCAGGCACACAACAAAGGCTAAGAGCCTACGGAACGCCCATTTGGGCGAGCTTGACGTGGCTTGGCTTACCAAGGTAATCCCAAGAAGTAGGCAACGCTATTTTATTTACTTTTTCTTTTATTTTATCTGGCTTTTATTTCTTCTCTCTCTTTTTTCTTTTTGTTGCTTTCGACAAATTTGTGACACGTTTGCGACACGTTTGCCATGTCGATTTTTCTTAAGCAAAACGTTTGTCGTGCGCCCAACTCATATATATTTTATAACTGTAGACGAGGACGTTTCAGCAGGTGGAGGAGTGTACGAGGGAGAAGGAGGAGGAGGATGAGGAAGAGGAGAAGGAGCAGGAGACAGAGCTGACTGGAGCTGGGATACTGTGACGTTGACTGCGATACATATCAGAGGCGGGCATGGGGTGTGGGAAGTTAGAATTTGACGTTGGGGTGCATATGCATACCTGTGCCAATTCCACATGGGCCAGAGGACATGGGGTGAGGGTGGTGCTGGTGCTGGTGCTGGTCCTGGTCCGGGTGGCGGTGCCGGCAGCGGTAGTGGTGGTTGAAAGATAGCCGTCATAGCTGTTGACTCATACGCAAATTTTTACTCATATGCCTTCGTTCTCATTGTTGTTGTTGTTGTTGCTGTTGCTGTTGTTGTTAATGGTTTGATGGGTTTAAAGTCGTGTGGAGGGTGCCTCAATGTATCGCCAGCCCCTGGCCGCCCCTGCCCGCGCGCCTCTAGCCAGCGAATAGATACTGGCACACTCGTATGCTCATAAACTCGCATATTTTGCATATGGACGCACGCCTGGGCGGGCATTGGATGGCAGTAACAGCCGCCCGGCTAACGCACCACCCAACCACTTGGCTGTATATCTTATAGCTTTAATAACTTTAGTGCTGCTACGTGCCATTGATCCTTGACGTGTGCGTGTGTGTGTGTGTGTTACTCTCATATGCATATATGTATGTATATATATATATATGTATATGTGTATATTTATGTTGAGCTGTGTGTAGCCTTGTCAGGCGACAGACAAATCTCTGGCATGAAGAAATGCGATAAGAGCCATGAGCTATACCATAGGCAGATTTCGAGGGGATACGCTGCCGAGCGTCAGGCAGCACAAGCACTTATGCAATTGAGATAACAAGCCATGATCTAGGCAAAGTACAAGATAAAAGAACTAGTTCCATGCACTATGTGAGCTGATTGCCTAATCAAGCATCTCACATCAATCTGTATTAGCTGAGTAAATATTTAGTACGGTTTTAGATTTTCCCTGCGAGTCTTTTCATGTCTTGGACTTACACCTAAATCTGGACTATGTTGAACTAGTTCATTTTTGAATTAACTACAATCGAAATGAGCATGGCAATAAATAATTAAACAGTTCGAGAAAATGAAGCAAATATTTTAAAAATTGTTTTCTTGTTATATAATATGTTTAAATACCAGATTCAACAATAACATTATTCAACACTATTAAAGTATTTTAGCTAATAAGCATTTCTGGTCATACTGAAATTATGACCCTCTTCTTCTTCTTCTGAATATTCTTATCGTCCGTATAAAATAAAAGATAATCTTTAAATTAAGATAAATTCAAAAACCTTCATTATTTCTATAAACATACAAGCAAGTCATCCAACATATTACATAATATTATATAAAAATATAATGGTATTTTCTTAGGACTTGGAAAAAGAAAATACCATTCAAGAAACTAACATCTATTATAAATGTCCTCTACGAAATTGTTATATAAGCACACATCGTATGATATGATGATATATTCGATTCAAGTTCTTTGCAAAATCAATTAAATTTCTTGAAAAAAAATTTGACTCGCCTTTTTGTTAATCCACGTTTCAGTTAATTCGCCTCGGCTGCTGCTCGCTGTGCTCGAATTCGCCCACACTTCTCTCGCCACGTCCCCAAGCAATTCGCCGTCCAATAAGCTCGCCTCATTCGCCTCTGTTGTTGCTTTATCGCTTCTTTTATTTGGCGCGCTTTTGATGGGCCCATTCGTACGCCCACTTCTTTGGTATTTATTTATTTATTTATTTTCTTTTCTTTACATTTTTTGCTTCATTTTTGTTATGCATAAATTTCATTTTCTGCTCTACTCTCATTGTTCATTCCTTTGCATTTTGTGTAGCTTTTCCTCACATTTTTTTTTTTATTCATATATATTTACGAGCATCTATGTGTGTGACTGTGTTTGTGTGCTACGTGTGTGTGTGTTATTAATCTTCGTGGGAGTTATTGCTATTTTCTCGTTGCTCTTGAAATTATTTGTAATTTT